TTCGTGTTCGTGCGTGCCGTGCGTGTGGGCGAGGCGAAGCTGCGTGGGAGGGCGAGAGGAAAGTCTCCTATGGCTGAGGCGCGGCCGGACCAAATGATCCCCCCCCCGGCAAAAGGGGCCGCGCGGTGTCCCGCCAGTGTCCCGCCGGTGTCCCGCTGGTGTCCCGGTAAGTCTCCTGTGGCTGAGGCGTGGCCGGACCAAATATTTCCCCCCCGGCAAAAGGGGCCGCGCGGTGTCCCGCCGGTGTCCCGTTGGTGTCCTGGTAAGTCTCCTGTGGCTGAGGCGCGGCCGGACCAAATGTTTCCCGATCGGCAAACGGGGCCGCGCGGTGTCAGGACGGTGTCCCGCCGGTGTCCCGCTGGTGTCCCGGTGTCCCGCTGGTGCGAAAACGATAGTGAGACCGATAGTGAGATCGATTGTGAGATCGATTCTGAAGATAGTGAGATCGATAGTGAGATCGATCGAGTGAGATCGATGGTGAGATCGATTGTGGGATCGAAGGTGAGAGCGATAGTGGGATCCATGGTGAGATCGATTGAGTAAGATCCATAGTGAGATCGGTCGAGTGAGATCGATAGAGAGATCGATAGTGAGATCGATGGAGTGATATCGATAGTGATATCGATAGTGAATTCGATGAAGTGATGTCGATAGTGAGATCGATAGTGGGATCGTAAACGAGATCGCGAGTGGGATCGACAGTGAAATCGATCGAGTGAGACCGACCAGCGAGATCGATCGAGTGAGATCGATAGTAAGGTCGATAGTGAGATCGATCGTGGGATCGATAGTGAGACCGATAGTGAGATGCAAATCGAAATGCCGATCGAAAAGCAAGTCGACATGCACATCGATAAACACATGCAAATGTAAATCGTCAGGCACATCGACATCCCGTGCTGTATGCTGTGCCAAGAGCGAGCGGCAACGCAACAGACTCTGAACACCAAGGCTCCCAGTACGAACGTTGGCGAAACAGGCTCTTAAGGGTCGCTCCAAGAAGCTCCCGGGAGGCCCCAAGAGGCCCCCAAGAAGCCCAAGAGGCACCCAAGAGGGCCCCAAGAGGCCCCCAAGAGCCCCCCAAAGGGTCCAAAAGACGCGCCCAAAAGGCCCCCCAAGCCCTTGCAAAATTAACGAAATCATTTATGATTTCGTTGGTTCCCCGGGGGGGGGACCTGGTACCAAGGCGCCCAAGAGCGAAGGGTGACGTACACAACTCGACACCAAGGCTCCCAAGAGCGAGCGGCGACGCAACAATCTCCACTGGCATCGTCAGAACAACAATCACCACTGTTGCCCATTGCTGGCCCCCTCCCCCCCCGCCACCTCCTTATCACCCGCCGGGTGGTCGTATAGGTATTTCAATTGGAAAATTGTAATATTTGAGGCTCGGGCACACCGCCCCCCCATCCCCGAGAGCGCGTTTTGCGCAGGGGGAGGGTCCCAGATGGATTTTACCTAACAGCGAAGACTGGTAGGTTTCTAATGGGGTCAAAAAAAAACATCTGATGACTCCCCAGGGGGGTCTGGGCGGGAGCCGGACAGGCGAGGACCGGGTTCGTTTTAAGCAAACAGTCGCACATTTCGTGCTCTTCGACCACATTTTGAATGCCCGGAGCCAACTGTAGGCCACTTCGTGCTCTTCGACTTCCCAGAACTCCATTCCCGGGCTACATTTTGGATGCCCGGAGCCAACTGTAGGCCACTTCGTGTTCTTCGACTTCCCAGAACTCCACTCCCAGGCCACATTTTGGATGCCCGGAGCCAACTGTAGGCCACTTCGTGCTCTTGGATTTCCCAGAACACCATTCCCGGGCCACATTTTGAATGCCCGGAGCCAATTGTAGGCCACTTCGTGCTTTTCCATTTCCCAGAATTCTACTCCCGGGCAACATTTTGAATGCCCGGAGCCAACTATACGCCATTTCGTGCTCTTCCACCTCCCAGACTTCCAAGACTCATCATCTTCATCATCATCATCATCATCGTCCCCGTAGCCTTCTTGGCTACAGCCCTGCTTTCGAAGATTTCCTTTCAAAGGAACTGCGCAGCGCCTACTGCACACCTTAATGCCAGGACATGCTGATAGTTCTCGGTCTGGCGGCGGTGGTCCTGACCCTGCTGCATTGAACAGCAGTGCTCCTCAGCCTGCGGCAGGGAACAGCGCTGCGACTGCCGCTGATGTTGCCACTGCGAATCCGAATGCGACTGCGAGAACACCAGAATTCTACAACAGCACTCTTACATGAATACCACAGGCAATGTTTCCAGCTATGTTTCTACACATCGCTGTTAGGTTGCTTTGCCGGGATAGTTTACCTAATAGCGAAGACTGGCAGGTTTCTAGTGGCTTCAAAAAAGAGCATCATGACTCCCCAGGGGGGTCTGGGCAGATGCCGGACGGGTGCCCCGGGAATCCGGGGATCCGCGCCTGATATAGGCGAACTGAGTCGGGGGTGCCGTGGGTGCCCGCCTGATATGGGGGAACTCAGTCGGGGGTGCCGCGGGTCCACGCCTGATATGGGGGAACTCAGCTGACGGGTGCCGCGGGTGCTTGCCTGATATGGGGGAACTCAGTCGGGGGGGCCGCGGGTGCACGCCTGATGTGGGGGAAGTCAGTCGGGGGTGCCGCGGGTCCACGCCTGATATGGGGGAACTCAAGTGAGGCTGAGGCTGAGGCTGCGGCTGAGGCTGAGGCAGGCTGAGGCAGACGCTGAGGCAGGCTGATGCATCCGAAAGCCCATGAGCAGTGAGGAGGCTGCTGCTACTGTAGCTATTGCTATTGCAACCACTGGGATTGCCACTGCGATTGTACCTGCGACTGCCGTTGTCATTGCGATTGCGACTGCGACTGCGACTGCGAAGGCATCAGAATTGTATAACAGGACTCCTACATGAATCTCAAAAGGAATGCTCCCAGATATGCTTCTACACATCGCTGTTAGGTTGCTTTGCCGGGATCATCACCCCTGAACGGTTCCGGGGTGAAAATCTATTTGGGCGCTCCGGACACTGGGCGGGAGGGCCTCGCCGCGAGAAAAAGGCGTCCTAATAAGAGTTTGGAAAATAACAATTTTTAGGGGTTCGGGCACACACCCCTGGCATCCCTGAGAGCGCCGTTTTGAATTGGGGGAGGGTCCCGGATGGATTTTCACCCCAGAACGGTTCGGGGGTGAAACTCCACCCCGACACTGGGCGGGAGGGCCAAGCCGCGAGAAAAAGGCCCCCAACAAGAGAGCTCATTTGGAAAATGACAATTTCTAAGGCTCAGGTACATCCCTCTCCTATCCCCGAGAGCGCCGTTTTGCATCGGGAGAGGTCCCAGGTGGATTTTCACCCTGGAGCGGTTCCGGAGTGAGAATCCATCTGGGCGCTCCCGACACTGGGCGGGAGGGCTCAGTCGCGAGGCAAAGGCCCCCCAATGAGAGATTTCAATTGGTCCACTGGGTTGGGCTCCGCTTCGTTTTCTCTTCGCTTCCAGCTGCAGCTCCTGGCCGCCCCACCCCAGCTTCAGCTCAGCGCAGTTCAGTGCAGCCTGCGCCGGCGCTGCTCCCCCCCTGGCGCTCCCCCCGCCGCGGCCGTTAGCTCTGAGTGGCCCGGCTTCTTCTCTCCCCGTCGCGCTGGGGTTCCTCCTCCTCCTTCCGTGCATTGCGGCCCGAATTTGCATGCAGCGTGTCCCATGCTGCCTCGCCGCCGGAGCAGTCGCCCTCTGCCCAGCTGCCGCGACGCAACGCGCATGCTTCCCTGGCCGAGCCAGGAGAGCGCAGCACAGGCAAAGCCGGAGTCAAGGACATGCCTTCAGCGCAATGGCACCTTGCCTGTTTCGGTTCTGGCCATCCCTAGCACGCTTGGGCGCGTGCATCCCTGAGTTTCGCGCCAGTCCACAGGTCCTGCAACTTGAAACTCCATCATTTTCGCTGACTTGTGATTGCGCACTCGTCACTCGTGGGCGAGAAACGCATCCGCATACACGCCGCGGCCCCGCGACTACAGCGCGCTTTTTCGCGGATGCGCCGCGCGGAACGTACCCGTGCGACCGCGAATCCGCGGGATCGCGCCCCGGAGTCTAGACCGCGAGGGCGTGGATATGGATACGCTCGCCGCGCGAGGCCGCGGATGTGGATGGGCGGCCGGTTGGGCCCCCCCCCCCCGCGAGAGGTCGGCGTTTTCCAGGAAGGCTCTCGCCTTCGAGAGCCGAAACAGTTGGCATCTTCTCCTCGGCGGAAAGTTGGCCGAAGTCGGCGAGAGTATAACGAGGCGATCTCCGCCGGCGGAAGGAGGCGGAAACTTCCCGAAATACCAAATGCACCCCTGAGAGATGGCAGCAGATTTGGTTTCAGAATTTCTGGAACCCACCAGGTGGGCGCGGATGTTTGGGTGCCTTGCCACGCCGAGGTTTGCTACGATCGAAACGGGTACGTAAAACACGGGGGCGAAAGCCGACAGCCGTTTTTATCATTTCTGAACAGGACTCGCTGTCGGCGTCGCCACGGACGGCGTCCGTTTGAGAGGAAGTCGCTAGCCCAACAGCGGCCGCTGGCGATGTTAGAAAATATTCGTTGTTGGGCATTGTACACCCATCAGAGGTCTTAAGAAAAAAACAACAGCTTTCATGGACTTTAGATTTCGCTTCAGATAAACAGGAATCTGACCTGGACCCTGAGCGTTTCCTCGGAGCTCCCTTTTTGTTCGTAGAACTTCCGTACATCTGGACCTGGACCGCCCAAGAAAGCGTGGCGGTGAAACCCACTTCCTTAGCGAAATATTTCCTGAAACATCAGCAGGGGTGTACCGTACCCAGTCTTCCGTACCCTCAAGGTTGGAAAAAACACCCGGACCCGATAATTGGCGTTTATTAAGCGGCCATGGGCGTTTACTAAACAGCCCTGCCCTGTTTGATTCCTTCCGTGGGCGCGTTTACCAAACGGCTTCGCGTGTCGGGGTGATTGTTATGGGGGTGGATGTTCTGCCCTCTATACCCGTTTCGGGCGTCCAGAGAGGTGTGGCGCCAGGGCACCGTCGTCGCCCTGGGCCCCGACGCGGCCACCGTGGAGACCCGCACGCCCCCAGGCGCGCCGCTCTCCGCCAGTGGCGCCCCGCGGGGCGCCGCGCCGTTCTCGGCGCGGGGCGCCGCGCCGCCGCCATCGGCGAGGGGCGCCGCGCCGCTGTCGGCGAGGCTCGGGGATGCGCGATAAGGGTGCGCGGCTGTCGGTTGAGACTCTCCTCCTCCTCCTCCTCCTCCTCCTCCTCCTCCTCCTCCTCCTCCTCCTCCTCCTCCCCTCCTTCCTCCTCCTCCTCCTCTCCTCCTCCTCCTCCTCTCCTCCTCTCCTCCTCCTCCTCCTCCTCCCTCCTCCTCCTCCCTCCTCCTCCTCTGGGGCATGGATTGCAATCGAAACTCAGTATGGTTTAACCAATCCATATTCCCATTCCCAGCCCCATCCCCATCCCCGCCATCCTACCACCCCAGTTGGGGACATGCCCCTCGAAGCCCGAAGGGAGCCGCCTATATCCCCCTCTCGGGGGTAAATCGGCCAGTGGGGCCCATGCCGCGCCGGTGGGGATAGGGATCGGTTAAACGATGCTCAGAAACTGATGGCAAAGATGCGCGATAAGGATGCAAGCCCCTTGGATACCCGTGTTGAAGCTTCGTCGAGCGCGGTGGGCCGTCGAAGGTAGTCAAGAATGGACCAAAGAGCCACGGATGCAAGGGTGCCCTCGGGAAGGTTACCCTTGGGTTTGGATTTTACAGTCGAAACCGATGGCAAGGATGGGTAACCTTCCCAAGGGGGGTACCCTTGCATCCTTACCTCTTCTCTCCATCCTTAACCCCTTTCGGCGGTCAGCCCCGCTCGAAGAGCCTCGACATGGGCGCCCAATGGGCTGGCACCCTTGCCGCGCATCCTCACTTTTAATTTTGACTGCAAGGCGCACGGATTCACGGCGGGTCCCGTTTTTCGATGCTGGATCGGTGCACTCCGCCACCAGATCGGGTGGCATTGGCGCCATGCTTCGGGGGTGCCTTCCCCGATCCGTGGATCCGGTGACCACGCGGCTGATCCACGGATCCCTGATCCATGTTCGCGTTCGCCCGAGCTTGGGGTGGGCCTCTCGCGAGCGAGCGGGGCATCGTGCGAAGATCGTTCGGAATTCAGTTTCTGGCAAGGTGGTTGCGTGCACAGTTTGGCGCAGACGGGATAGGCGGGATTGCAGCAGAGCTCACCCACTTCCGCAGCCATTTGCCTGAGAGGCCCCACAGAGGGCCGCGCTAGCAGCACACTGCGAAGTGTACACCAGCGTTGAACCTAGGAAGCAGTCATTCGGAGGGGGGATTGGGGCCCTCTCGCGAGCGAGCGAACGAGCGAGCGCCGCGGCCGGATCCGCCTCGGAAAGCGGACCAGGATGACAGTCGTCCAGCGATGGGTTTCCCATAATTCTGACCTTTGGGAACCCATATAGACACTCAGAAAAAATGGCACTCCGCGCGGATGTTCGCGGGCCTTCGGACCCCCATGAAGACTGGGGACTGACCTTGTCGACGACGACGACGACGACGACGACGACGACGACGACGGCGACGACGATGACGACGACGACGGCGACGAAGACACCAGCGACGACGAAAAGGACGACGACGAGCAGGACGAAGGCGACGAGGACGACAGGAGAGCCGCCGTTGCCTCTGGCGCCCCTCCCCGCGAGGGGCTGGCGGGGTAGCCCGGGCGACGTGGCCGCGCCCTGCTCGCCGAGGCCCGGCGTGGAGCACGTCGAGGTGCCGCTGCGGCGGGCCAGGGGCGGCGCGGCGCTGCACCCCTGTGGCGGAGCGCACGGAGCGGGGAGGGCAGGAGGAGGGGGTGGAGGCGGCGGAGGGGGCGGGGGAGGACGTCGAGGAGGAGGAGCGATAGAGGGAGCACAGGAGGCCAGGCCGAGCGGCGCCGGACGAGGACTGGCGGGGGCGAGCAGCCGAGGACGGGGGGGAGGAGGGGGCCAAGAGGCTCCTCCCCCTACTCCCCGTCCTCCTCCTCCTCCTCCTCCTCCTCCTCCGCCTCCTCCTCCTCCTCCTCCTCCTCCTCCTCCTCCTCCTCCTCCACCTGCTCCTGCTCCTCCTCTTCCTCCTGCGGGTCAGCATCGTTTATTCCTCGCCCACGGGGCAAAAGCTGCATGGTCCACCGCCAGAATCATTGTCCACGCCCACCGCTTCGGAGTCGTGCGCCGGAATCTCGAGGAGCGATGGATACGGATATCTGCCCGCCCGAGTTGGCGGGCATACATACACACATATATCTATATATGTATATACTAGAACCATCGCGCGCGCTTCGCGCGCGCTCAGGTTCTAGCAGGCCCCAGGCCTTGACGAATTCACTGCTGCTCCACTGAAGTAGTGGACCACAGTCCACGCATGCCAATCTGCATTCCGAAAGGCCTTCGAGGAGAATGGTTGTGTAGGGGGGCGGAGGCCGTGTGAATTGGGTTCCCAGAAGGCCTTCTAGGAGCATGGGTTTGGGGCGTCTTGGGGAGCCTGTTGGGGCGTGCCGTCGTCGTCGTCGTCGTCGTCGTCGTCGCCGCCGCCGCCGCCGCCGTCGTCGTCGCCGCCGTCGTCGTCGTCGCCGCCGTCGTCGTCGTCGTCGTCGTCGTCGTCGTCGTCGATTCAAGAGGGCACTTGGGGCAACTTTGTGCGAAACGATCTGCGGAGGGCCGCGAGAAGGCGATCAGTTATGTTCCCAATCAACTTCCCAGGCAGCTCTCCTGTAGCATGATGGTACTTCTAAGCCTCTGGAGACTCGCGGGCCCATGATGAACCATTTCCCCGGAAGGTTTTCTGGGGACATGGTTTGTTGGGGTGTGTTGGGGGGTCTCTTGGGCGTTCCCTGGGGGCCCCTTGGGGGCCTCCAGGAACTCTCGGGCCCATGATGAACCATGTCCCTGGAAGGTTTTCTGGGGACATGATTTCTTGGGGTGTGTTGGGGGGCCTCTTGGGCGTTCCCTGGGAGCCCCTTGGGGGTCTCTTGGGGCTTCCTGGTGGCCTCTTGGGCGCCTCACGGGGCTTCGTGGGAGCCTCTTGGTGGCCTCCAGGGGCCTACAGGCGGCCTCGAGGGCCAGAGACCTCGAAATATCGGTTGGCTGTCCCCCTCTTGGGCCCTCTCTTGGGGAGCTCTTGGGGCACAGTTGGGTTGTCTGGGGAGCCTCCTGGGCCGTCTTAGGGGCCCTCTTCGGGGGCCTCCTGGCCCCTCTTGGAGCGATCTGAAGGGCCTCCGAGCGAGGCCGTGAGGGAGCGCTGGGAAGAAGGGAAAGCGAGAACGCCTAAATCCTTCAAAAACCATCGGAAAACGAGTGAATCTTGCTTCCCAAGGCCCTCTTGGGGAGCCTCTTGAGTCCGTCCTGGAGCGTGTTCGAGTCCTCGTCGGCCGTCTTGAGGGCAGCTTGGGCGTCTTCGGGGCCTCTTGGGACCGTCTAGGGCCCTCTCGGGACCTCCATTAGCCTGTCGTGGCCTGCTTCGGGGCGGGCCCCGGCCGCCTCGGGACCCCTCTGGGCCTTCTCTTGGCGCGCTCTTCGGGCACACTTGGGTTGTCTGGGGAGCATCCTGGGCCGTCTTGCGGCCCTCGTCGGGGCCTCGTGGGCCTTCTTGGAGCGATCTGAAAGTCCTCCGAGGCCGTGAGGGAGCTCTGGAAAGCGGGAAAAGCGAGAACGCCAAAATCCAAAGCACTCGGAAAACGAATGAATCTTGCCTTCCAGGGCCCTTTTGGAGAGCCTCTTGAGTCCGTCCTGGAGCGTGTTGGAGTCCTCGTCGTCTGTCTTGAGGGCATGTTGGGCGTCTTCGGGGCCTCGTGGGACCGTCTTGGGTCCTCTCGGGACCCCCTTAGCCTGTCGTGGCCTCCTTCGGGGCGGGCTCGGGCCGCCTCGGGAGCTCTGGACCCCCCCCCGCAACCCCTGGTGGGCACCGATGGGGGGAACAAGCAGCGGCCCGCCCCCCCGCCCCCCCGGGCCTACTCCGAGATAGAGAATCATGTTCCCGGGAAGCTTTCTGGGAGCATGATTTGTTCGGCTCTCTAAGAGTGGGGCCTCTGCAGTGGGGGCTTACCGAGGGGCGCCTTTTGGCCTTGTCGGCAAGCCTGTTGGAAACATGGTTGGGGCGGTGGGCGGAAGCGCAAGGAATCATGTTCCGGGAAAGCTATCTGGGAAATACGATTCACCGAAGTGTCTTGGGGTCCCGCAGGGGGCTTCCCTGGGGGTCCCTTGGGGGCCTATTGGGGCTTCCGGGGGGCCTCTTGGGAGCCTCACGGAGCTTCTTGGGAGCATCTTGATGGCCTCTGGGGGCGTCCTAAGAGCCTCTCAGGCCGGAGACCTCGAAATGTCGCGCTCTTCGGGCCCTCTTGGGTCGCTCTTGGGGCTCTCTCAGGGCACTCTCGAGGCCCTCTTGACTTATCTGGGGAGCCTCCTGGGCCGTCTCTGGCTTTCTTGGGAGCCTCTTCGGCCGTCTTGGAGCGATCTGAAGGGCCTCTGACGCGGTCTGGGACCGTGGGGAGGCGGAACATGGGAGAGCGCAAGAATGCTTCATAAACCATTGGAAAATGCACGATTTTCGGCTTCTGGGGCCCTTTGGAGGGGCCTCTGGAGGCGCTCCTGGGGCGTTTTGGCGGCGTCGTCGGCCGTCCTGAGGCCATCTTCGGTGTGTCCGGGGCCTCTGGGGGCTGTCTTTGGGCGTCTTGGGAACCCAGGAATCATGTTCCCAGGGTTCCCAGAGAGGCTTCCGTGAACATGACTTCGAACGAGGCCCTCTTGGGCCTCCCTGAGGCCGTCTTGGGGGCCTCCTGGGCTGGCTTTGAGGCCTCTTGGGCCGTCTCACTTTCCAGCACTTTCACTCTTCTCTACCATCTTCACTTCTCTCTGCCATCATGTCGCTCTCGCCCGAGCGCCCCGCGGATGGCATCCGGAAGGCGATGGCCGCTACCGGCTCCACCCCGCAACGCAAACAAGCAAGGATAGGACAGCATGAGGATCAGGAGCCAGCACTCGAGGCTAGGGATCAGGCTATCGTCGACGCCATGTCCACGCGCATGCGCAGCATCATGGATGAGCGAATGACGCAGTACGAGGAGGCTAATGATAAGAAGTTCAACGGCATGCAGCGCCAGATCGACGACATCAGAGGTTCGAACGTGAATGAGTTCAAGGCACTTCACGCGAAGACAGATGCCACAGCTCAGCAAGTACAGCAACTACAACAGACGATCGAGAGCATGAAGATTAAGCCCAGCGGTAACGACAGGAACTTGCAACTGGTCGCACACGGCTTCCCGTCCGACACCAATGAGACCACAGTCGTCGACTACCTCACCAAGCTCACGAAAGACAAGAAATACCAGGATCGAGTGCATCACATTTTCTGAATGACGGACCCCACCAGCGTCGGGTACATTGAATTCCATACGTTGGCTGGGAAAAACGGCTTCCACAGAATGATGCGCGAGAGCCCGCCCCAAGCACCAGGAGGACAACCGGACGACCGACTACGATTCACCGACAACCTCACGAAGACGGAGCGGCGGGACATGAAGCAACTCGGCTTCACCAAATATCACCTCAACCGTCTCCTGGGCATCCCGCTCGAGGATATCCGCATCATGAGGGACACGCTCTCGGTTAAGGTGCTGGGGAAACTGGCAGCCACCATCGTACATGGAGAGATCGAGTACCACGACCGGGGCCTCGAGGTGAAGGTGTCTGTGAGCCAGTCCATGCGCGAATGGGACGCCAAAGGCGCAAAAAACGAGTGAAGCGGGTGCGGTCCCATACCGCCCCGGACAGTTTTGAAGATTTGTACAAGTCTAACTTTTAATTGGTATTCGGGTTCATTCCTCCCCCTTCCTCCCTTCCCCTCTCCCTCCCTGCCCGGTGGTGTAAGAACGCCCCCTCCCGAGAATACCAACGTCTTCCAGAATTCAGTGCGAGACAAATTCGGTGATTTTTCCTCCCTCCCCAAACCTTCAGGAACCCAGCCCTCAGGATCAGCAGCTTCGACACCAACGTCGCGACCATCTACGACCCCAGCGCAAACGAGCAGCACAGGAGGAGGCAGAGCTATTTTTGCACATGCCGACGGCGACGTGCCAATCAGCATCCTGACAGCAACGCGGCCTCCAGCACCAGCCACACAGACTCCAGCCGATCAGCAACGGCCACCACCACCCACCGACCAACACCGACCAGCATCACAGCAAGCAGCACCGACCCCAACCGACCAGCAGCACCCACCGCCACCCACCACCGACCAGCGGGCACCAGCAACACCAACACAAACAGCACAGACTCCAGCAGACCAGCAACGCCCACCACCACCCACCGACCACCGACCAGCACCACAGCAAACAGTACCGACCCCAACCGACCAGCAACGCCCACCGCCATCCACCGACCAGCGACAACCAACAACACCGCCGCAAACAGCACAGACTCCAGCAGACCAGCGCCCACCACCACCCACCGACCAGCACCGACCAGCATCACAGCAAGCAGCGCCGACCCCAACCGACCAGCAGCGCCCACCGCCACCCACCGACCAACGACAACCAGCAACACCACCGCAAGCAGCACCGACCCCAGCCGACCAGCAGCGACCACCACCACCCACCGACCAGCATCCACCAGTGCCCGCCGACGACCACGACCGACCAGCAACACCACCGCAAGCAACACAGACTCCAGCCGACCAGCAGCGCCCACCGCTACCCACCGACCAGCAACCACCAGCACCACAGCAAACAACACCGACCCCAACCGACCAGCAGCGCCAACCACCAAACACCACCGACCAGCGACAGCCAGCAAC